ATATATATTTATATATATATACAATTGTCACATACTGCAGCATTCAGAACGAACCACACAGGCAGGGTCCACCCTAGGCTGCCCTAATGGACATCCACGATATTATGCAATAGACTAGCCGTGACTTTATGGGGCTTCAGGAGAGACGGATAGATGAAAGTGAAAGGTGGAATCTGATATTATCATGTGGAGTCACCTTATGCTGAACTATGTTCCCTAGAAAATCTGTGGTCTGTTGTGTACTCTGATTAAGACGGCTACCCTGTTATTCCACCTGAGTCTCTCATTTGAACCAGGTAGGAAGGCATGCTGTAAATGTGATAAGGCTAGTAAAGTACATAGGTAACCAGCAACTGATATGCACATGGATCAGTTGTGTGTTTGAACCTTAAGTAGCTTGTTCGCTGAAGGTCTGCTGTTTTCTTGAAAAGCGAGACGCAATGTCACTGTAAACCGCGGTCCCTGATGAACACCTCGCCGGGCTAAACACATTCTCAGGTCGATCGTTTCAATCTATATCAAAGTGCTGTTTCTCCGTCGCACCGCACTATTCTATTGTAGGCCAACATGCAGTGAGCTCAAATGTAAACACCAAAATCATCAAGTGCGACATCAGTAATTTGTTATGACCATATTAAAAACGATACGAAATGACTGCGGATATATAGAAATCCTGACTATTTCCGTTGCTGGACAGGACCAATGGGCTTTGAGTCAGCTACGTAAGATAGCTGTAAGTAGCTGTTCAACCCCCCACAAATACATTCAACCTCTCTCCATATGTATACCAGTGATTAGTAGCTGACGTGCATTTTTTGGCGAATGGTGTAGATTTTCTGCCCACAATAATCCATAATTTAATCTCATACTTGTCCGCTTTAAATAGAATACATGTAATAACAGCCATCGCGCTTCCAACGGAATCAGTTGTTGATCGACTGTCAAGGGACAATTGGATTAATGTACATCTCGGTAGTATATGTATTGCACTACTCATAGGGTTTCTGAAAACTCCTCGACAGCCCACGACCGGTTTCGCCCTACTTGGGGCTCACCATGTAGGCGCAACCCCAAGTTTCTGTCAACCTTATGTTCTACTTGAAGCCAAATTGCACGGAATTAGCGAATATACACTCATTTGCAAACTAATTTGGTTTTTTCGAGAGACTCACTTGGAACCCAGCTGAATCTCTCGTTTGTGATGTTTCCAGGCATCTAAACGTGCTGCACCAGGCCGCATCATTTTTCAGTCGCTACGATATTCGAGATATCGCGATACATATATATTTTTAATACGCCATTTATAAGGTTACTGAAAACTCCTCGACAGTCCAAGACCGGTTTCGCCCTTCTTGGGGCTCACCAGGTAGGCGCAGTCCCCGAGATTAAGTTGAGTCTTTCGTGAAAACCAAACTGATTTGCAAATTAGTGTATTTCTCAAAAACGGTCCAATTTGGGTTCAAGTAGAACATAAGGTTGATGGAAACTCGGGGACTGCGCCTACCTGATGAGTCTCAAGAAGGGCGAAACCGGTCATGGGGTGTCAAAGAGCTTTCAGCAACCTTGTGAGTAGTTTCCTTTATGAAAAAATATACTACGACATCTCGAATATCGTGCCAAGTGGAACATGAGGTGGCCTGTGCGAAGCAAGTTCAGTTGTAGAA